CTGTAGCTTAAAGTATAAATACTATGTAGTTAACTGTTAAAGTGATGTTAACTTAACTTCAGCTTAACTTAGTTAAAATATCATATGTAGCAATACGATATGGGACAAAGTTCGTTACCTTACTACTAATCGATCACTATGATGTTGGGCGTGCAAGTTGCAAGTTAATTGACGCAAAGTGTTCCACACATCGACCTGACCTTTCGTTTATGTATAGCGCTGCTCAAGCTCAAAACTTTGATGTGATGTTGCATTTTCACATTCGAAATCCTATAAGTACTAATTGCATATAGTTACACACTGAGTGCGGCAGTATTTTTTAAGATTAATTTTCTTCAACTTAACGGTATTAATTTCATTAACTTATTAACATGAAGAGTTAATCCAAAAGTATAAACTTTATGGGCATCATCCGCTTGCGGATTTCTCACCTTTATTCTAAAATGCTGCCTAAGTCACTAACAATCCTAAATCCAGTGGACATCGTATCTATCGACTATCGTAATTTTCTAAACGAAACCTTTAAAGCATAAATGGTGGTAACATGATCGTGGTCTAGTAATAAAAAAGTAATAGCTCTGTCACTCATACTTAACGACATTTCCTGTTCATAGTAGGCACTTACTTTCATTTCCTTAATTTCCCGTCTACTTCAATGCTCGGCGAAATCCAAAATTGAGTTACGTGGCAGTTTTCCCTTTTAACGTAACATAATGAAGGCAATTTTCCGCAATTTATGACATTGTTTCACGTGGGTATTTACTAGCAATTAAACTTGTACAGCAAAAATTAAAATGTTTTAATTATGGAAGGTTTTTAATTTTGGATATTAAACTAAATTACATAGTATTCAATTATTTCTAATTTCGTAATAGGTCTTAATTAAATATGATTTAAAAACTGTGGGCTATGGGCCAAAATTGGAAATAAAATGTGTAATGAGTAACACAAAAACATAACTTACACCATTATTTTAAAGTAAAATTATATATATTCGTTTAATTTCTGATTTCCGACATTATTTTCATGTTGGTGACAGGATAAAAGTATTAACCCCCTACATTACTACGAATGCAGTTGAATCAAGACATAAACTATTTCGTCTTGCATTGAACTGGAACGGGATACATTTGTAAAATTGGCGGTCAACTTTCCACGTAGAAGAAACACCTTCAGAGGCAGAAGAATAAACGGTCTTAGATTAGCTTATTTCTTAAAATTGGTAATGTACGAACTAATCATGTCATTGTTAAGCCGCTCGGCGCTAGTGTGCAGTTACTTGCGAAGATATGTTTAAATTCCTATTTAATAATTAAAAAATAAAAATTACATTTACAGATATTAATGTATCATCTAAAAATTGTTCCTATAAAAATAGTTTTTTATGAATACAGCGTAATAAACGGATCGAAATTAAAGTATGCTAACTTTGTGGACGTATGACATTATGTGCCTTTGTCTTTCTTCAGCTGAAATCTGAAATTGAAATCGATTTTGATTTCGATACAAGATACAACTTTAGCAATTTTTGCTTTTAGTAGTAGTAGAACTAAGTTTATACCTTTCCTATAAGAAAATACAAACATTGCCAAAACTGTGCGTTTAATGAAGTTAATCGATTTATAAGTGCGTTTGTGCTAAAAATTTTAGAGAATTTGAATAAGTATTAGCAGTAATACATAAATATGAGTTCTCAAATGTCGGCGACAAATTTTAATTTACTTGGATCAAATTCGTTAAAAGATGAAATCACCATTAAAAATGTGTGGAACTTTAATCTGCACGATGAATTTTACGTTATTAGACGGGTAAAACTTTTTAAATGTTCTATATAAACCAAGATGTGTAATAATCCAAACAGACAAATATGGCAGATGAGTAAAAAGTTTACTAACAAATAATTTTGCTATCTGCAGGTTGTTCAAAAATACCACTGGGTGGCAATGGATACTGAATTTCCCGGAGTAGTAGCCAGGCCGATCGGTGAATTTAGGTCTACTGCTGATTATCAATACCAGTTGCTGAGGTAATATTTCCTAAAGTAATACATAATCATAAAGAAAGATTTCCTCAAACTGCAATGGTCTGTTTGCAGCCAGAATACAAATTTGTCTCATAAATGTTAATTCTTCCAGATCTTTTGCTTTTATTGTAAATATTGATTAATGTAAAACTATTTCAATATTGTATTTGTATATGTTTGTTTTTTACAGATGCAATGTAGATCTTTTGAGGATAATCCAACTGGGCCTTACATTCATGGATGAGAATGGTAGGACCCCTCCGGGTTGCACTACTTGGCAATTCAATTTTAAATTTAATTTACAGTAAGTATAAGGTTGTATTCAATACTTTTATATTTACTTGTTTATTGTGTTTATTGTTGCCTTTTTACAAACACGTCATGATTGTGTTTCTAATTTTGTATTCATATTCAGATTTTGAGGTATTAGAAACAAGTGTAAAAAGAACCTACAGCACTCTGTAATAAAAAATGTCCATCATAAAATAGTTAAGTCAATCATATTGTTTTGAAAGCTAAACAATGATGTCATGTAGATCAATAAATATCAACAAATGTGTCTAATACCTGTTGCTTTGGCTTATGCAATTATTACACATACCAATAGTCATATAACAAGTGCTGAAGTATCATTCATACTGAAAACAAATGGGTTTTAACTATGTTTTGTGCATTGATTATAACTTACCTACATTTAATAACATAATATTGCTAAGCTAGCAAAAGAAATGATTCTGAGTACTCATAGTAAACCTCAAACAATATATAAATATATACTATGTTACTTAATGATAATATAGCATTCCAATAGCAGTAAATTTAAAAAATAAGTCCGGTAGTTCTTGAGTTTATTTGTAACATACAGAAACAAATATGTCCTGTTAAATGTTATTAACAAGTTTTCCTTTATATTTGATACTAACTTGTATATTTTTATGTGCACTTAGAGAAGACATGTACGCTCAAGATTCAATTGATTTGTTGCAAAATTCTGGATTGCAATTCCGAGAGCATGAGGAGCATGGGATAGAACCTCTGGAGTTTGCAGAGTTGTTGATGACTTCAGGTATGTCTTGACAACCAGGATTTATATATTTTATTTTTGCTAATATAAACAGTTTAAGGGTTATCAGTATAGTCTATGGGTATTTCCTGGCCAGGGCAAAATTTCTTCTAAATTTTTCAAAAACCAAGATAATATTTGTTTTCAGGTTTCTTCAGATTCCGGCCTATGGTGATAGACTTAGGAACTGTCAGATTTGGGACTTAATTTGGTGAAAAGTAGATAGCGATTGGCTGTCTGCCTCCCCCGTTAGGGTGAAAAAGTATTTTAGGAACTTTATTTTTTTTAATCCTCTTTGTTTTAGGAATTGTACTGATGGATAATATAAGCTGGCTTAGCTTCCATTCCGGATATGATTTTGGCTATTTGCTGAAGCTACTCACTGATCAGAATCTGCCCCAAGAGGAAAGTAATTTCTTTGAAATTTTGCGTATGTACTTCCCAACAATCTATGATGTCAAAGTAAGTTCTAACATATTTGTTGTATGCTAAGTTCTTTAAACGCATCCTAAATGTTTGAATTGTTTTTGTTGTACTGATTTTGGGAGTACTTGTTCTGACAATTTATCTCAAGAGTTAGTGCTGCAACTCTTATGATATTTTTTTATAATGTTTAAACTTCAATTTATTTCACCATAGCAAAGGTTTATCTCATTTTAGGATGCAGTTTCAGGTGTTTTGTTGTTGCAGTATCTGATGAAGCTGTGCAAGAACCTGAAGGGCGGGCTGCAGGAGGTTGCTGACCAGCTGGAGCTGCGCCGCGTGGGCCCGCAGCACCAGGCCGGCTCCGACTCTTTGCTCACCGGCATGGCCTTCTTTAAGATCAAGGAGGTAAATTTTTGATTTGGCTCCTAAGTCATTGGTAGTTACTACAATAAGAGTTTTATCAATAAAAGTTGTTAATGTATCCTGAGCTAACTGTAAACGACAATTTGTTATGCAGATATTCTTCGACGGCAACATCGAGAGCACCAGCGGGCACCTGTACGGGCTGGGCGCGCCTTTCACCACCAACGCCAACAACTTCCAGGACAACGGCGACAACGGCAGCCCCTCCTGAGACGACGAGTGCGCCGCGCGACCTCCGCCCGCTGCGCGCCCCGCACCCCCCGCACCCTCCGCGCGCCCCTCACCCCACGCGCATCTCGCGCGCTCCGCACCCCACGCACGCCCCGCGCCCACCACCTCCCACACCGGCCAACTACAGAAGCTGCACCTCAAAGATTAAATGTTATAATTAATAACCAAACTCTAAAGAGTGTTGACATCATTTAACAATTTAAATCTACTTCTATTGGTGTATTGTGCGCGAACTTATTATAATAAACGTTTTCTCCTCTTCTCTGTTCTGTTTCGTACGACAGTCGTTTTATTTTTACCCTTCCAATTACAACTGATAAGATGAATATTACCTGTACTTCGTAGTACACGAGTATAATTTCAACCACGAACTAGTTGCAGCAACACGACTCTACGCATAAAAAAAAACAAAAACCTATGTGTTCTTCCAGACTATCTCTACTACATCTATACCAAATTTCATCCAAATCTGTTTAAGCAACAAACATTCATCAATCCATCGAAACTTTTGCATAGTATGAAAAGAAATAATTATTATTACCAAAGGCTTTGTCAAAGAATATCTTATTACCAATGAACCTTTTGTAATGTCTGTGTATTAGGTGTTAAATCTTATTAATACTGATAAAAGCGAAAGTTTGGAATTTTAGATGGTTGGATGGATGTTTAAGAGTTTGCAGTCTTAACGGTTGATCAGTTCTCAATGAAATTTAGCATAGATGTCAAGGATAGCCTGGAAGAACACATAGGCTTCTTACCATACTTAAGTTTTTCTTAATTCCACGCAGACGAAATCTAGTAAGTAGATAAACACTACGAAAGAAAAAAAAACAATTTATATTACAAATATCATTTATTTCAAACACTTCACAACTCGGCACTAAAAGCATACGTCAGATCGGGCGGAGGGTTTCACCAACGGAGCAAAAAAAGTTAAAGGTATTTCTAGAGTGGAATACTGAAAGCTATGTACTAACATTAAGAAAATGGAATGAGTACATGATTCAAAATACTTAAGTTATCTCTAAAAAGGTACAAAAACCGAGATAAGTTAATAAATACTTGTACAGTAAACTAGTTCTAACGAGACATTGTAAATACGTTTATTATAAGATTTATTTTTTCTTTTTCTTATTCTTCTGCGTCGCGTCGGGTGTGCTCTCAGCCTTACGCTTGCTGGTGTTAGCACCCTTGCCGGTGGCATTGCTGCCGGGGGTGTTCTGGTTCGTTGTACCAGTCTTCTTCTTCTTCTCTGCTCGCTCTTTTTCTTCTAGTTCCTGGTTTTCTCTTTCGATTAAAGTTATGAGAGTGTTGCATCTGGAAAAAGATAGCCAATTAAAACATATTTCGAATAAAATGTATTCGTGATTCGAGGAATTTCGCGATTCGTGTGATCGAGGTATGACATTTTACTTTTTGAAGAGATTAAGAACGGATTGAATTAGACACAGAATTAGTAACTGAAAGATATTTGATAGATTTAGAAAGCCGACGGTTTTAGATAAGTAATGGTAAACTATCATTTATACTGTTAATGAAATTGGAGGGACCGTATGCATAATTGAAAATAAAATTCATATTTCGATTTTTTAAGAGTACGAAAATACTGAACCGATTTTAAAGAATCACCATTAAAAAGCTACATTATTGTAGAGTAACATGCTTGACATTAACGGGAATTATTTGGATACGAGAAAAGAGAACGAGATAGAGACGAATATTTTTTGTCAGTCAGGCTAAGTTGAGGCAGATCGCTAATCTATCTTCTATGCATATAATAAAATTGGAGTGTCAACAGACACACTTATCTAGAATTTGTATTTTGATATTACATGTTTGTTGTTGTTGTTGTTCTTCAAAAGACAAATTCCAGATTTTGGGAAGATAAAGAATTTGCGTTGCTGATAACGAAAATCGCATTAAAAAAAATTGTCTGTCTGTCTGTCCGCGAGCCGCGTTCTTCCGTGTAATCCCAACTGATTTCAACCGGACTTTCACTGGAGGATAGCTGAGATAGACGGGCATATTATAGACTACATTTTTTTTAAATTCCGCGTTGTCAAAATGGCGACCAGACTGCTATCTCTGGAACCGATTTGGACGGGACTTTGAAACATAGCTAGTAAAAGGTAGTAGTAAAAGTAGATGCACGCGGGAATGTGATAAATGTTTCTTTTTAAATCCGCGCTAACAAAGCTCGTTATAAATATAAATATGAAATGCATGCACCTGCGCTGCAGCTCGACGGCGGTGCGCGACTTGAGGAACCAGTCGAAGCGGAACTGCGGCGCCGCGTGCACGCCCGCGCGCAGCTCCTCGTACACGTTCTCCTTGTCGAAGCCCAGCTTGTGCAGCATGCACACCAGGAACCTGCGCACATACCCCACATTACAACTACTATAAAATATCCAACAATGAATAACATATAGCAATCAATTAAAGAATTCTTAATAAGTTCATACTGACTAATTAATCTTTATAACAATGTTATGTGACATTCAGTTTTAATAAAACGACTAATAATTCCTCACAATCGTACTCTAAATTGCAATAGACGTTCAGTTTTAACTAAACAATCTAACAGTTAAAATTGTACAGGGGTAGCTTGCATAAAGGTTAAACTGTAGCGTGTAGGCGAAAAATTACATGTCAGTTAAGCTACAGTTCTGAGCCTACACACATCAGCTTTAACTGTACAATTTGTTGATTCTGTTAAAAACTGAAGGTTGTATAAAGTACTTAAATGTACATTTTATATAAAACTACATCACCTGTCTTCTTCCTCGACGTAGTTTTTCCCCTTGTTGGTGCCGTACGAGATCCTGAGCTGATGGAAGGGTGCTCTGTAGCGCGCCATTTTCGCGTCCAGCGCTTTCTTTATAGAGGCTCTTCTTTGTATCTTCGCTTCACCTCTCTCTATTTGACCCATGATTCTGTCAATATCTTGCAGCTCGTGACATCTCTCCCAGAACACCGCTGAATACTCCATAACCTTAACAATTATAATTTGTTAGTTTTAAAACATATACTAATTTATAACGAGGAAAGATTTGTATTTTTATATTTAATGAGTAAACTAATATGGAGAATGAGAGGGCGGCAGAGACGCCCATAAAAAAACTCAAAAACAACTAAGCCGATTTAAATAATTCTTCTGCTATTAAAAAGCATTTATACATGCCTATGTTAACAGATAAATTACCTTTTTAACAGTCAAAGAATTTAAAAAATCAGACCAGTAGATTTTGCGTTATACCAATACATATAAAAATACAAATCATTCATCTTTATAATATTAGTATAGAAGATTTAGATTAGGTTTTTTAATTCCCCGAAGATGAAGTCGCGAGCAAAAGCTAGTATGTACTAAGATAATACCTCTTCTGGTGTTTTTCCTTCGACATCCTTTGCGATATTTTCAATATCATCTCTGCCATACTTTTCATTTGCTTTAATGAACTGATTAAAATCTCTTTTAGTCCAATTCGTAAAGCCTGAAAAACAATATAAAAATATTTATCAATAACATACCCTGTACTAAGAACTAAAATTATCACGGCAACATAAACTCAATGAAATAAAATTAAGAAATTGAGAACATTTTTTTTTACCTTGAGTTAATAATTGTTCTTTTTCCTGTATCTCCTCTTCAGTTAACGCCTCGGCTTCGTCTATCTTGCGCTGCTCCTCTCTCTGAATCTTTGCAGCATCTGGGCCTAGCTCAGGATTGCGAGGCACCTTGTACCTGGAAATTTAATTATTGATTGATTATTCATTTATTTTTATGAATATTCAAATACTGATTTAATTAGAATTTTATATTTATTTAAAGATTTGCATTATTTTGGATTTTTGGACAAAAATCACCGGACTGATTTCAAAAATTCTTTTACTGTTAAATGCTATGTTACTCAGAGATGGAGTATGGGCGATATGGTTTTTTTTTTTATTTTCAATTTCACATGGACGAAATCGCGAGCATCACCTAGTGCTAAATATTGCAATAGAAGTATACTAAGTGGTTTATGCATTAAAAGTTTTTACTATTTTTTTTTAAACAATATTAGAAGCTAGTTTTTTAATAAGTTTATTTACCCTAAAGTTTTTCTGTAGTGATAAATTTCTTGATCCAAAAGTTCAAAAAGTCTCGGCGGGAAGAACTGGAAGTCTTGAACTATCGGCTGCTTCGGCGGCCGCGGCGCCTGCGGAAGAAACATCAGTGTTCATTCTAACATAATAATTACATTTTAAAATAAAATATAGTAACTTTTATTAATAATACCATGCATTAATGCTGCTACAAACACTCAATCCAACTGAATTTTATTTGTTTTAACCGTCAGTTGAATTGTACAGTTAATTTAACCTACATATGCACCTCCAGTTTTACTGATCAGTTAAAATTTAGAAAAGTTTATCAGAACGGAGTGTGTGTACCAGATACAAAAAATATCTACGGCTTATGTAATATATCAAGTTAATGATCTATGGACAAATAGAATGTTATATAAAAAGAACAATATGTTCAAATAAATCTATTATAGTACAAAGACAACACATAAGCATGACATTTTTTCAATTCATAATACTTGGATTAAGAAAAATCATTAGTGACATAATATAAAAATGCAGTAAAACACATATAAACAAGCCGTAATGTAATATGTTAAATATAATAATTTTGTAATGATCAATAATCTTAATAAACAAATGTGATATTCATTATTCGTATCTTTCTTTTGAAACAATTTAGCTACATTTCTTGTGTATTACTAAAGTCACTAAATATTTGTCAAAATAAAAGCTTATAAGCTTATATATTGTTCAAAATAATTTTTAAAATGATAAAGAGAAGTAGTACTGTTTTAATAAGCTACTACTACCACAAGTTTATTATTACTTCATTTAAAAATGTAACATACTGATGAATAGAAAAGGAACATCACTAACTACTCTATAAAATAAATGTATAAAACTCTACCTAATTACAACCAACATGTTCAATGAATTACAATGATCACCTCTAGCAGCGTGACAGCGTGACATCTTCACAACATGACATCGTTCCAAAACCATAAATGACAGGACAACATCACATTAACAACATAACAGCAGGGAAAAGTCACAACATATGGCAGCAAGACAACATAACAGCGGGAAAACATCACAACATATGGCAGTATGACAACATAACAGCGTGATAGCGTGACGAGTCAAAACAAAAGGAGAGTGAGACAGCAAATGTTCCAGTGTTAGCTGTTTAGAGTTATTTACCTGTACCTTGGGCGCCTTGGGCTCGGAGACGCGCAGAGCCTCGCGGAAGTACGCGTCCACCGCGTAGTTGGCCTTGCGCTCGCGCTTCGGCGGCTCTATCCAACTGCCCACGGGGATTATCTTCTGCTTCTCCCTGTAGTCCTCGCCTACATACGTACGTTAACAAACATTTCAACATGTTTTCATGTTTAAAACACATTTTATACTTATCCATATTCCCATAGAGACTGATTCATATTCTTAGACATTAATATAATTGTAAAAACATAATGAGAATATCAACTGCCGCCAGAATGGGGCGCTATTTTTAATTATTCCGGAATGACATTGACAGATGTCAGACAGAGATGGGATATATATGTCAATGATTAAGTGTTGCTCCAATCCTCTAGCGCAGTTTAGTTATTATATACTTATTAATATGTCCATTTCACTGGAGTTGTCCTTTGAAATTCAATTCAAATTTATATTAGTAAGCCAATATTCGAGTAAAGCACAAGTACATTTTATATCAGTATTGTAGAATGTTATATGTGTCAAAAAGTTATGAGAGATCACCTTCGAACTGATAGACAGAGTCGGTGGCGCCGGGCGTGTCCATAGAAAACGCTCGCAGCGACGACTCGCCCAGGCTTTCTAGTTTCTGTTTCAGTTCTTCAGTCTGTAAAAGTACAATTAAACAATGTAGGGAAAGTCTAACAAAAATACTGCACTCATAAATCCAAGAGTACTTAATTTTTCACTAATGGGTCTCTTAGTTACTTAACCAGGGTTTAAATCTACATTTTTCACAATACACTCATGAATTTAACTGAAACTCTACTGATTCACCGTTAGTCAGTGCTTGTGGGTCCTTGTTTGACAGTATATTAAAAACTGATTGCTGCATTTACTCTTTAATAATTTACTAAGGACCTAGTTAAGTTTTTTCTTAAACTATGAGTATCAAATTTAATATACCTTGCTTTCTCCTTTAGCCAATATGGTATCGATATCCTCATCAGTAATCTCGGAGTCCTTGGAGGAGAAGACATGGTTGGCTCCGTGGCGGATCATGTTGAGCATCTCATCCTTGTTGAGCTGGTTCTTGGTGTCGACGAGGCGACCTGACTGGATCACCAGCTTGTCCAAGCGCAACTTCACTTCAGCCCTCTCTACTATTTTCTCTTCCACAGTATTATCTGTGATCAAACGGAACACTCGCACCTAGAACATATATGGAACTTACAATTTCGTCAAGTGTTTTTTTATTAATTTACAGAATATAACCTATCTTAGTCTATAATTTATAAAATATAGACTAAGATAGAAGTTAATATCGTTATTTATCTGTGTAAACATTAATTTAATAGTCACTCTTTGTAATTCGGCTGCAGTACACAATATAGTTTAATTCAATGTAAATTAGAAATTAACAAAACTATCTAAATAATTTCATCTTTATAACACTGTAATTATAAATATATTGTAAACAGACATATTTGCATCAAATCAAACACTAAATCATTCCAAAAAAGTAAAAGGAATTAAAAAATATTTGTGCCATTTCTATTTCATTTGATTAAACCATTCATATTTTTTATCAAGAATATACAAACATTCTAGCAAAGTATCTCACTGTATTTTTATTTAGTCAATGACTTATGTACTAAATATTTTAATAACTTTAATTTGAATATTGACCTGTTTCATTTGTCCAATACGATGTGCTCTGTCCATAGCCTGCAAGTCCATCTGCGGGTTCCAATCGGAATCATATATAATGACAACATCAGCAGACGTCAAGTTGATACCCAGCCCTCCGGCGCGAGTCGACAACATGAACACAAACTTCTCACTACCCTCTGCATTGTACTCCTCTATCTGCCTGTTCCTGTCCTCATGAGGTGTCTGACCATCTAGACGACAGTACTGGAAATAAATGTTTTAATTCATATGATTACTAGCTTTCGCACGCGACTCTGTCCGCGTTGAATCGAAAAAAAAGCAAAAGTAAGTAGCGTATATGTTCTTCCAGACTTTCCTCTACCTCTGTGCCAAATTTTATCACGATCTGTTCAGCTGTTTAAGCTACAAACTCTAACAAACATCCATCCATATATCTAAACTTTCGCATTTACAATATCAGTAAGATATTGCAAAAAATGAAACAAAGTCGTAACAAAGATTCTACCCATAACGTAGAATTACGTTAATTTTACCATTTACATAGATTCGAATTGAAGAGTAAAAGAATCTAGATAATTAAAAATTATGTTCCAAATAAAAAGAGGTTCTAATTACCTTATACTGTCTCCAGTGGCAATAATCTTCTAAAATATCAAGCATTCTTGTCATCTGTGAGAATATGAGCACTCTGGATCCTTGCTCACGAAGTTTTGGCAGCAGTTTGTCGAGGATCACCAGTTTACCGCAGTTGTACACCAAATGCTCGTCTGTGGTGTACGGTGGTCCGGGCTCAGCCCCATCAAACAGATACGGGTGGTTACAACATTTACGTAACTGCATTAGAATGTTTTGCAAGCGCATTTTTTCAACTTTACCAGCCCCATTTACTGAAAAAAAGCATTATAATATGTACTATCAGACAAATCAACAAAATGTTTGGATTATTTAAAAAATCAGAAATATAGATGTTAAGTAAAAATTAAATAAAACGCCAGCTCTGGAAAGTACTACATCTGCAATTTTAGATATGAGTAAAGTATGTCAAAAAGTCTGTTGAAAAAGCCCGAATTTTCCAATAACTAGATTCAATGAATTATAGTCATTATAACTATGCTTTTACATGTCACAATTCAATATCAAATCTAACTTACCAACATCAATGTCCTTCATCAGTACCTTGGTATACCAATCTCTTTGCATTTTACTTAAGCCAACATAAACTTTAACTTCTTTTTTGGGTTTCAATTTCTTCTCCACTTCAGATTTGAGACGTCTCAGTAAGAATGGTCTTAGAACAGCATGTAAACGAGACACAAGCTGATTGTCACCCAGTGCTGCATTCGTATTGAACCAAGAGTCGAAATCCTACAAATTGAGTAAAAAAATGTAAGAAATAATATTACAGATAAGTTCAACATATAACTTTTTTTTTGTTTTATTTGTATCTATATTTTAACATAATTTAGTAGCTGTAACTTAGTCAGAGTGTAGTTAAAAACATATTTTAAAATATAGCCTGTTGTAATGGTGAAAGAATTTTAGAAATTGGCCCAGTACATTTAGAGTTATTCCAATACATACAAAAACAAAAATCTTTACATTAGTTAGATTAAAAATTGCTAGACAAAGATTTAAGTAAATAATACAACATATAATTCTTAATACTTACATCAGAGCTGTTGAATACATCAGGTAAAAGGAAATTAAGTAGGGCCCACAATTCATGGAGATTATTTTGCAAAGGTGTTCCCGTTAACAGCAACCTATTCATACTTTTAAATTCACGAAGGAGTTCTGATAGTTTCGATTTCTCGTTCTTAATGCGATGAGCTTCATCAATCACCATATAACGCCAGTTGAACTTTTTAAAAACCGATTTCTCCCTGATGATCATTTCATATGATGTGATACAAACATCCCAGTTTCCAGGCATCAATGTTTCACGAATAAATGTATTCTGCAATAAAATTCTAAATTCAATTATCAATTTTAACTTCCTAGCATACATAATGATCATCACCAGCGAACTATACATCCCCACTAAGGGGCTTAGAGCCTACCCTAAGTAAGGGTGAATAGGCCATAGTCAACCTATGCTGGCCAAGTGCGGGTTGGTTGATTTCACACTGTTTTTAAATTTCTACACTGACATGTGCAGGTTGCATCACAATGTTTTCCTTCACCGTAAGAATGTCTGTTAAATTAGGTACATATCAAATAAGAAAACTCGAAAATGAAATTCGTACATAGCGGGATTCGAACCCAGGAACTGTAGATTACAAGTCAAGTGGTTTAAAAGCACTACTGAGCCACCGACACTCTAAAATAAGGATGATAGAATGATTTAAAACTAGTTTTCCTCCCTTGGTTGAAATCCAACAACAATCATATATATTTTGTTTAAAATTTATCACTTTAGTATAAGTCAAAGTGTCTCAAATTAAATATTAATTTATTTACACTGTTTTCTTAAAAAGTAGACCAAAGTTTCCCTTCTAATAGTAAAGATTAGGATTTCAGTTAGGGAATCTTTGGTTAGGCATTGTACACTTGAGGCTATGTGATAACAATAAAGGTGGTATTCACCCTTGTCTCTTGGTCACCGATCAAGCACACAGCTCTAAGCGACGGACACCATTTCTTGAACTCATTCATCCAGTTTGTTAATGTTGACTTCGGGACAATAACAATATGAGGTCCGGGAACATTTCTGTAAACATTTTTATATTCATTTTGAAGTTATTTCCTTACATTATTAGTTTTTCCTCAAACAAGATCACTCAAATTTATGTAACGATAAAATAGAATTAATTAAGAACACATACAATGTATTACAATGGGGTTTGGTAGCAGTATTTGATTTCAACTCAAAAACAGGCATTATTTAGCCATACTGTTACTATATTACAATAAAAATGTAAAAACATTGTTCTTGTTTTTGTTATGACCTATCACAAATAATATAAGCACAATAAAATATGATACATACCTAAAATGTTTCATATATCCCAACAGTGATATTGTTTGTAAAGTTTTTCCAAGACCCATCTCATCAGCTAAGATTCCATTGATACCATTCTCATATAATGAAATCATCCAATTCAGACCACGCACTTGATAATCACGCATTTCTCCATTCTTAACATATGGAGGTGATGCTTCAAATCGGAAAATTGTTTTAGTTTTTGTATTTGTTTCAGCTAAGAGTTCTTCATCCTCCTCTTGCTCTGTTTTCCGATGACGATGACTGAAAAGGTTAGGTTAAGTGTTTACAAAAATAATATTACTTGGTTAAATATTAAACAGGACAAACTGCAAAATCATGGTATTATTAACCAGTTAAATATACGAAAATTTCACTAACTCGCCAGCTGATCCAGGTAATTCAGGGTCTTTGTTTTTTTTAGGTCTTCCAGCTTTAGCTTTCGGTGGACTACTTCCAGACTTTGGGGTATTACTCATAAAATGTGAAAAAATCTCAGTTTGTTTAAGCAAAAACTCAAATCTTTTTGAACGATCAGTTTCAATTTTACTTTCAAAATCTCCTTCTTTGCCCCTTGATGAAGTTGTGTCACTTGAAGATCCATTCTAAAATAAAAATGTAATAAATTACTCCCTAATGTAAACTTAAACCAGAGTTTGTAGCAAAAACCAAAACAAGTACAACAAAATTACAAATGTGGACACTAACTGAATTCTCTCCTACTTCTGCAGCTTCCATCGCTTCCTCTGTGTTGGACATAGTTGTAATATAATTGTATTAAAAAAATGTTTTAAACTGGGGTTTCATTTAATAACAGTCAGACACTTTTTATATTAAAATAAAAATATTAAGTTATAGAAAGGCGATGGACCATTTTATAATACCAATTCGTCCAAGTAATTGATTGACAGATCGGACGCCGGGCGGGCGCGAAAATTACAGAGAAAAAAGTTTTAGACATAGATAATATATGTAGCTTTTGAAACTGACTCTCATAATAAAATAAAACATCATAAACGTGCGGATTTTAACATTTTTATTGAGATCTCAGAAATAAGAAAGTTTTTGTGAACAAATGACTGTAAAAGGTAGTTCTGAAGATACACATGGGAACTACAAGAAAACAAACTAGCTGTGTTATAAAAATATATTTGCTATATAATAGTAAAATTGCCAAGCATGTTTCAGAAATCTGAAATATAGGCTGCTGGGGCTGAGAATAACACTCAATATTTTTTTTGGTGAAAGTGTGCAGATAAATATGGGGTACTTGTAGGCATTAGGTAAAAACAGTTATTATAATTTACTTGTCGAAAATATATTTACATTATACAGGCGGTACATCTGTACTAAATGTTTATTTATTCTTAATAGCATTATCAATTAAACATTTCAAATATTCTAATTTCTCTTCTTTGGTTTCACGATTAGATAATTCTTCCCATAATACCTGAAAAATAAAACCATATTAATTAAAATGAAACAAGACTATATAAAAACTTATCCAAAATAATATTTGAAAGTTGAAAATTATATTACCAATTCTGCACAGTATCCTAAAGCATTAAGTTCTTTTATTTTGCTATTGAATATGCCACTTGGTGTTTTGCTGTTATGAATTAATGCATTTCTTCCACCAATTATTAAAACAATCCAAGTATTATAATCTGGAGGAGTTTTTAGCAGCCCAAAATGTTTGTTATCAAAAGTATTTCCCACTGGTACTGCACAACCATTATGATCATTGCATAAAATAATATCTGTGAACAAAAAAAAAATTAAACACAGAACCCTGCTGGTATACATTTGAAATACAATTTAATTTACTTGCACTCTTTGTAAATTGCTGACATATTTCACACATACATGCAGATATATTGTTAATGAATATAACTTGTTACAATATAACATACCTCCTCTTTGATGGTGTGTCAAAATGTGACCACCAGTAACAAAATCATCTCCTCTATCTCCTTTTAAGATACTTAAAACATCTAAGAACATTCTTTCAGAAATATTGTACTGTTTTTTATAATTTTCATCAGGTACATAATCTGTGTATTTTTTAGCAAGTATTATTGCTTCTTTATCAGTGAGAAGTTTAATGTTAGAGTCTTTGCAAAATATTTTAACCCTATTGTGTAGTGTTAAAATTTCTCTTCCATAGGTTATAATGTGTTTACCATATGTTTTTTGCAAAAACACCGGGTCAAATACAAGCTTTATGAGTTCTTCAGGATGTATTCCTAATAGGCCAAGATAGGCTATACAACATGCAAATGATCTACCATATGTATTACGCTCAATCTCTCTTTCTGGTTTTTTCAATTCTGCAATTACATTATGTAGAAAATCTTCTGACTGTGGAATATAATTAAATGTGCCAAAAGTCAATGCTAATCTTTCTAGATCTTTTAGTCTACTTTCAGCAATTGCATTAGCCACTCTATTTGAGATAGCTTTTAAACATCCTTCATGTAAGGTTAATGTGGATGTTCCTAACAACCCCACATGAACATTGCACATTATTGATAACCTAGGTACTTCTGCTTGTAATTTATCTAATAACAAATATATTTTATTCCCAGTTCTAAACTTCATTGAATATCTAATTATTTTCAATAAAGCAGCAAGTGAAATTTCATGTATTTGGGTAGAGTTGTCTGTGATCTTATCCATTATTTTCACTAGTATATCCATATTTCTTATTGGAGTTTTACTTTTGAAAAATCCCATTGATATTATTGCAAGTTCATCAATAGAAAATTCATCAAAGCGTTCATTGATAAAGATTTCTAAATTATGTACATCTTTTGGTGATTTCCTTTGTATTCCAATAAAGAACATTGTTCTTACAAGTTGTGAAGCTGATAAATGCTTTGCTTTTGAAGCTAATTTCAACAAACATCGATATGAATAATCACTTGCTCTATTAGCATTAAGCATGTAGAATAAGGTGATGAACTCAAACATTTCATCATATGACCAGTCTCTTAATCTTTTAAGACATTCATCGTCAAGTGCTGCCCAAACTTCTATGAAATTTCTTGTTTTTATAGATTCTGTTACAGGCCATTGTAACAAAGAAAAAAATACTAATTTTAGCTCAGTATCAGTTGCCTTTGACAAGTTATCTGTTAAATTATCAATAAAATCATCAAAGATTTTATCAGATATGCATTTGTTATGCTTAGTGCATAATTTACCAAGAATAGAAAATGTTTGAAAAAGAATTTGCGGTGGTTTCTTTGACCAATTATCTGATAACAATTGCTCCAGAGAATAATTAGATATATCTACCTGCTCTTGTTTACTACTTAGCTTCATCGCATATCCCTTATTTTCCATTACATTATAAGCATAACTATTTTCATGTTCCATAAACATTTTCGCAGCCAAACTTGAACTTTTATGTAAATATCTACAATTATTATACACTTTTATGTGAGAATATCTAAGTCCTTGATAACGAAATAATGAACGTGAAAATTGAAACAATGTATTAATTGTCATTTTGTAACGAAAATGATTTGTTTCTTCGTGAAAAATGAGGGAAATTGCCCTCGAATTTACAACAAAGTGTAGGTATGTATCAGAATCATTTCATATTATAAATCTTAATTTATAACTTGTTTTGATAAACTAAAGGTAAAGATTGTATTATAAATTATCATTCATGTTTAAAACTGTTCGCAAGTTTATAACCTTAAATACTTATAATGCCAAAATACAAAAATGCTAAATTGACATTGACAGTTGACAGTAACAACTTGGTCGGTCGCGTTCATAAACAAAAGCAAGGATTTGGCAATTACAAGTAAAACCTAAAAGAAAACGTGTTAAAACTATTATATTTTCTTTTAATTATATTCTCAATAACAAAAACTAAACATTTTAGGATTCCATCTTAATTTCACAATTATGAGACACAATGAAAATAAATGTGTTCTAAGAGCAATTTCAAAAACTTCGAGTTAAATCTCAGAAATCATGGCGTTATAACCACATTGTACCCAATATTCGGATTCGTCCCAATGTCCAAAATATTGCGGTTTGACATAGAGAGATTTTACTTCCACATTATCACCTAAGCCTGGAACAGGTACAGGACGATTTTTGTCTTCTATTGCTCTTTTTTCACCCAAAAACAAATGTTTGTCCAACCACGTCGGCTAAAGAAAATTATATAAATATATTACTAAGGGCCTAACTAAACATTTTATATTAGGGACATAAATCGAATTTGTATGTTTACCTTTCTTATCTTCACATCCGATGTGCAATTAAAAGGCCATAATCTCGTTTTACTGTTTATTTCTTGGATATAGCTGCACCATAAATCCCAAAAAATCTGTGTATCATACAGATTTTGAATGTTAAAAATGTAACCAAAGGACACATCGGTATAACGTGAAATTAAATATAGTTTTTGTAATACCTTTTTCTTTGGGGTACTCGCCATTTCAAAATATCTGACGCCGTGTGTGGTAACTGCTTTAATTGAATTCCGCATATGTTGTTTGAATACATATATTTTGATAACGTCAAGGGAATATAAATAGTAGAGTTTTAATTGTTTGTCATACTTTGGGGTATCTTCCTCATTTTTTTCAAACTTAATGCAATAGACCATAGATGCGATTGCAAAATTAGCATTAGTTAATCCTGAAAACGTAAGACATATCCTTATATGAGCATAACGAGTTCTTTAATTAAATATCAAAGGTCTCAGTCATTCCTTAAACATGAATGTCTAAATTACCAAGTATAACTGATCGCAAATATTTTCCACTCCTGCTAGTTTCAAGAAAGGGGCTCTCTATAAGAACAATTTCAGTTGAATTCAATTGGTTGTCTGGCAGTAGTTTCTTAATTTTCCCGTAAACCATATTTGAATATTCTTTCCTATTTCCTACAGCATTTTCATATGACGTTGACGTTTTTTCAAATGATATAAAATGCAGATTAAACAAGAAAAACAGTTTATGTACGCAACTTAAACTAAAAAGTAAAAAAAAAAGTTTAAAACATGGTGAACCGGAATGCCAATATGCAGTTTACGGGCGTCACTTGCACGCTACGCTACTTGTACACTTGTACGCATAAATCAGACCTTATAAATGTAAAATACATTACAAGATGGTAATAGTAACTGTGGGTTTCCACTGTTGTAACACATGTATGACAACAATCTAACCATCCCTTTCATTCTTTTGTAAAAATGCTTAAGCTATTAAGCTTAAAGAGAAAAATGTTTCAATTTAAAGGAAAATAAATAAAACAAGAATTGCATTCACACTTTTTTTATTATAATGACTTAGGTGTTCCACGCAAATCTTTTATTTTTCAGATGCAAATTTTTACACTTTTAATGATTTTAAACAGTATTGAACTAAAAATAATTGATAAGTTGATTTATTGTTACGTTACACATACCTAGCAAATAACTTTGGTTGAAATTTATAGATTTAACCAAATGTTTTTATTTTTAATTTAAAAAAAATCTGTGTTTAGTTTTATCTATATCTATGTCCAGTATTTTTTGTTATGGGGAACGATCATAGGGCCAAAAACATTAACAGTGATATGATATAAAGGACGGTCATTTTATATTTGCAATTATCTTAGAAACAAAAATAAAGTCCTTGAATATTTTATATCTTATAACTTTGTATTTATACGTATCGTTAAATTATAGAAACGCAAATACAATATAATATCTTAGAAAAAATTACAATGCTAGCACTAAAATTGCCTAATAATAAATAGTTGCGACATTATTTGTAGCAAACACACGTCATCGCCCCGCGTCCGCCTGAAAAAAAAATAGAATTTGTAAAACTCACAGACAAAAGTGTGCAGCAATTGTTATTGAAAACTCGATTCTCAAGAAAAGGAAAACACATGAATTCTTTCATGTGAAAACTTTGGGTCGTAATAGTTATTTACACTTAATAATTATAAATTATGCTTGAAAAGTGTAATATTATGACTTATTAACTTTTTTTTCAATCGAGTATGGATTTTTTCTCATCAAACTTCCATACTTTAATAACATTGTTTTAATAACTTAAGTCAAGATTATTTTATATCTGATCTTATTCATCCGATAGAGTTAGGGAGTGTCTTCAGATATAACTGCTGATAGAAATGTATGGAAGTGGAGCACATACTATGTCGACTATTCATAGGAACAAGGACAAGATGATTATGAGTTAGACTGATCTCATAATTCATTCCTTCATAGAAATTATACAATAGTCAAATACAACATTTAAGTGACAAAAAGTGCAAATCTATCTTTACTTTTTGTTATAACACATTCCCACGCCCTTGGTTATAGAAATTATAAACACGTATTATTAATTTAACCTCCACCATAAGGTATTAAGTGAATTATAACGGTATATAACATCACAACAATATATTTGTGGACATATTACAAACAGATATCTATTATTAAATAATTAATAATGTAATTAGTAGAGGATTTCTGTTAGGCGTAGTCAACTTTATAATGAGTTGACCAACAAGTGCAGTGCAATTATTATTTTTATTTATCTTACATTTCATTAATAGTCGCTTTAAACTTCACTTTTTATGCATTTGTTACATTACATCCATAAAATTATGAAGCTAGAAGCATAACAGGACGAATTGTAGCACGAATCGATCAATGTTTAGTTTTGGACACTTTAGGTATTCTGATGGACGGAGGCAGCGGTAAGATGTTATTGCCGTATCTGACGTGAAAGTTCTTATCTAAAGATACCTCTTTCTTATGCACGGCCTTATTTACAGACATTTTGACAGTTTTATCCTGAAAATGATTATGTGTTAAGCCTTGAAGGAAACGTTAAGGTCACAGACAGTGGAAGATGCGCAATTCAAAGAATTTTTACTTACCAGGGCTTCAGTCTTCTTACGTAAATTGGATCTAGACAATGTAAGCGCTAATTCTGATTGTAGTCTACTTGATATCGATTCATCGTCTGGGATTATATGACCGTCCACTTTGTCACCATTGAGAAAATCGAGTTTCAGTGGTTCTCTTCTTCCAACATTGTTAACATATTCCCCTATGGTAACTGAAACCGGTCGTGCAATTTTCTTCATAGTCGCCGTCCCATTCGGAGCTCTTACGAAATAATTAGGCGGTGGTTTTGGCTGTACATTTAGAGGATTCTTTAATTTATAAGATTCGAGTGACTCTATTTCAGCATTTTCTTCTTTAATGTTCTTCAAATTGTACTGTAATTGTGTCTCTGATTTGTTGTTATAATCTGGTGTTGGCGTGCGATTGAGGGTACCGATCTTTTTTACGTTTGAATTATTAATGTGGTCAGCTTTTTCTAATTTTTGTTTTAGATTCTCGACTTTTTTACTTTCACCGTTTTGATGACCGTTTGCTATTGGCATCTGGAAGATAAACGTTATCATTTAAGTGTGAATTGTAAGAGCATCGATAAGGAATATTCCTATTTTACTGTCACGACTAATTGCAAAACATAATATAAATAGTTATTTTTTTAAGTTTTTGCAAAGTTGTCAAAATAATGGTTTACTGGTATTCCTCCATTTTGTTAAAATATAATATCAATTGTACTCACTGGGGGCGGGGGCGGTGGGCTGTCTACGACATCTTTGTGTTGCTTCACGCCATTGCTGACAGGAGCTTCTGCGGGAACTGGTTCAGGTTTGTCTTTCTTAATCTGTAGTGTTGGTTGGCGATCCTAAAAACAATGAGAAAAATAACGTTAATAAATCAGAAAGAAACATTTAAATCTATATCTGTTTAGCCCAAATTTGAAACCCTAGAAGTGCCTTTTAAGACTTGTCCTTGTAAACTAGGTTAAATCATAGTCAAGAATTGTTACAGATAATTTAGCATTGATAATGTTTCAGTTGAAATGATCTCGACATGCATGAAAACGGATGAAGAAACTGGAGGTATTGAGGTTAATATTGTAATCTATTGATTTGCCTCAAGATTTTTAATACAGATATTTAGTATGAATAGTAAATATTATCCACGATATTTAAAAAAAAATACCGCAAATTTCCACACTACCAGACATATATAATGTGTACTTATTGATTCTATTTTTTATTAGTAAGTATAAATTATGTATATGCTTGTATATTAGCCGAAAACTTTGACATTTCACTTTTATTTAAATAAATTGTTTAATTATTAGCGTTAGAAACGATCAAAAAGTCGTTGCTAAATTAACTTTCTAAACCGGACGGAACAAATCGCAGCTGAAATTCTTCACCTTGGATAATCACTGGACAAGGTGATTTCAACTTACACCATGGCTGAGAAGGATTTTACGAGAAACGTATAAAATACAAAAGTCTTTTGTACTCTTTCATATTATAATATGCGGATAATTTAAACAAAGCATCACGAATCACTGTCATTGCCAATACAATTTTTAAATAAGTATTGTTAGATTTATCATTGAAGGTAAAATTAACGTAAACCCTAAACGCACGGCTAGTCTTTACAATTGTAGCTACAGAAGGTCTTACAACGGCCAAAGTTACTTTTGCTGCTTTAATCGTCCCATAAGACATTATCGTTTTGTTGTTGCAGCTAAGCCTTTATTAAATAACTTTATGCTAAGATTTAAAAACTATTTTGTTTGGTCTTTATCTTACTTGGCACACTAGGAACCACATAAAAATATTTTCCGCATGAGCCAATGTCTGAAACCAAATTAGGAATATGATGACCATTATTTATATGGAGCTGAAGGATTACTTTGGAAAATTAATTGAAATATTTTTGTTTGTTAAGATCGATGTGTACTCGTATAACCCATCTCTATTTATTTTACTTTAATTAGACATTAGACTTTATTTTAATTTATTTAATAATAAAATAAATTAAAATAAAGTCAGCCTTTTAAATGTATTTCGATACGTAGAAGATCCGGTAGGTAAACGTCCGGTATTCCAATGCCCTTTACAGTCTAAGCACAACAAATAATTCACATAGATAATTATATACAAACATTAAGTATTGCACCTGCATAATGGAGGTCAAAATCGTGTTATTTAATGATCGGGGTCTTTGACATTGAACTTTGTGCATACTCTGTTGAGGATACAGCGCAAAACACTCTTGAGTAACAAGTGAATGACGTAAGTTTCATGCGCCGCCGCTTAACTAAAGGATAACGTAGCGATGTAAGAGTAGAGTATGTACAATGTTGTACATACATGGAAACGATTACGGGAAAGGCGGCTCGTGTTACCCAACACCTACTATAAAGACAAGTTTTTTATACACATTTCAAATAATCTTGCCATAAGTCGAGAATGTATTGGCGAAGTAATAATAGATCTAAATAGATTATCTATTTAAATGTTATTTTAATTTCTAAAAATACAATAACAGGTTTGTAGCGTTTTTCATCAGACGAGTACTTGAAGTACAGTTAACAGAGATAGTGTAATCAAAGTTATCGATCGCTAAACATCAGATTGATAAGCTAACTTGTAATTCTGTCACATCAGTTGTATACAAAATATTATTGCAAGTATATAGCGTGAATTTTATACTACAATAAAAGTACCAACGTATCGTAAACCACTCACTTCATAACACTGAATTACAAACAACGGCTTTGATTTGACATTTTTCTTCATTTTAATTACGACCAACACAATTCACTAACGAAACAACTTCACATTCGCGCTGCTACGTAACAAAATGCACAATTAACTTATCGTATTCCGAGACCGCAATTCGTTTAATGAGGTTTTACGCCGATAGTGCACAGAAAATGCTCACAAATAAAAACAAGAGCGCGTGAAGGTCACAGATAATTTCCCAGCGCGAGTGAAAATACTTTTTTTACGGTTCGAGAATTTACACCATTGTGAGTGTAAGCCGCGAAGGCTAAGAGGCAACTGGCAGGCAATAACGCAGGTTTGGTTACAATACAAACGAAGGCAGGTGCGGGGCGGCACGTTATCACAGAGTCATTCGATGCGCAATCACTGTGCCGACTGTATCGGCCAGGTAAAGTCCGCAATTACCAGTGGCGTCTGCAAAAAACTACTCGGTCAGTAAACACACGGCTATCATCAACCGCAAATAGCTGCCTCTCGGATGCTAATAGCAACTGCCCTGATAACTTCCAATTGGTTTGCTCAGTCTATTTTCAGTTATTTAGTTTTATATTTATTGCCTAAAACTATAAAATAGGTATTTTGTTTTCAAAATTCATATCATAGTCTTATTGGAAAATATCGTTTACTTTGCAAATTCAGTGACAAAAATGGGACATGGAATAACTATTCTACTAAAGTAAGGTTTTACCAAAAGCCGTACGTGGAATTGCTATATAAATCTGGGTTTATCCTTTACGACATCAGTACCTAATTGCTTATTCCTATCGGTCAAATGGAAAATGATTCATTTCAATAAAATCGATCGTTATCACTCGATATAATTAGTTCTCGAAAAAGTGTTCAGGTGTAAAATCACTGCTTTTATCAAATTTTATAGAAATATAATAAACCTATTAAGATTATGTATGTACTCGAAAAGTGATAAAAAATGCATTTACTTTATTATAATTTCTACTAGCTGTTCTTGTGCGACTCCATCCGCATAAAATTAAGACTTATTTTATTATTTACATGTTCCAAATTATCAATAGTAAATTTTAAAATGGGATGACATGACATGACAAACCTTAGCAATCTTTCTTTCTTGATGTTGGCAGCAACTTATGATCTCTTTCCCACATTAGGATTTTTATCCAAAATATTTACCCCCTAAGTTTAATGGCGTTAAAATAAAGCGCCTAAAGCGTGACGTAAGTGTTGGGCTTGTTATAAAAAAAATAATTATTCAAAAATATGGTGTAATTGCAGAGATCTTAGTCAACAAAGAAGTGTGTGTTTACGCTTTATTATAATAGTATAGATATACTGCACTGTCTTATTTACACTAGCTCTCGGTCTATAGTATTTTCCATGTTATTTCTTTAATGGGAATTCCGATTCCTACTCGCCGGCCCGATTTGCCAAAGGTATGAGAATTGAAAATAAAACTTAAACAAATATACATAGTTTTATTACCCCGAGTACTTGGAAATAATAGCACGATCTTTTTTATATGATTTTGTTTAAAATAAAGTTGACGTAATGAAAGATACGTATTATTTTGCATGTTAAATTAAATATATGAAGTTATCAACGTTTCGAATAATTATAAAAACAATGCCGTTGTGTTGACATGCTTATTTCGCACGTAATCGAAAACGAAATTGAACGTTTTGTTTCTAGTTTACACGTGGAATGCTGCGATTTTGCTGCACTAGTAACTTCTTAGCTCGCATCTCTTTTTGGGTCAATACATACTTAGTAAGCAACAAATAGTCAGGAATCATAAAGTAAGAATAAAATATAAAATAAGTTAGATAACATTTTATTTACAAGCTTTATGCTTTTAAATTTATCACGTAATACAGGTTTATTTCTCGAGAAAATCTGAATCTTCATCAAAAAATTAGTTTCAACGAAGACTGACAAATTCCATGTTATTGATAGTTAAGTATATTGCACCTAAACTGTAGTTACTATTAAAAGCTATATATGACGGCTTAATATTTTCTCATATCTTTTAAATTTACGAAATTATCAGTTCGTACAAAAGTTATATATATCCCAGCGGCGCTTAAAAAGAAAGCAATCTCACAACAGGGCGCCGGCTGAACTTTACAAGGCCTTCGCGAAATTCCAAAATATAATCGGAACCTTAATTCTTGGAATAAACACGCCTCAGAACCTCAGATCGCATTGCCCTCATGCTCGCTTGATTCGACTTGCATAACATTAAATTTAAGCGATTAGTATCGAGATTCATGTTTTAATGTTTTTTTTTCAATAACCATGTACTGCATTTAAAAAGAAATATATAGAATGTTATTAAGAGGAACCCAGAAAGTTAATAAATATTTCCCAACTATAGTGATTTACAAAGAATTCTCAATACAAAAAATGTCGATAGAAAAAGGTGGAGGCTCTCTTTATTATTAAAATAAGATAATATTGAATTGTTTTATCGACTATCGATATTATTAAATTGACCGTGTACTTGAGGGAAATCGAGAGAAAATGCCCGCCATTGTTTTATTAACACTAACATTTTTTATATCTTTGACCAATTGATTTGATATTTAACTAATAAAACAAGACGAAAAACACAATACTGGTTTCTTGTAACAAATCACGTTTCATAATCATTATAATAATTTGATTTAAACGGCTCGACCTGGTTTTCTGTTGTTAACCAAACTTCAATATAGATGGTCATTACTTCTTGGCTATTATTTTTTTAACAGTAAATCTTTTTATATAACATTAATAGTGATTTTTTAATTCCACAAAAAATAACAATTGTAACGTATTTCTTTAATTTTAACATTTAAAAACAATCAGTTGCTTTAATGCCGTAATGCCACCTGTTCCTTATGAAGTAACAAGCTCATGGAAAAAATTGCAACCATCGACGTAAGTTATTACGTGACGTTTAAAAGGGTTGGAGTAAATACAGTTTAAACTGCAGATAATAAGAAACATGCGTAACACGAAATACCAAGCAATTAACTCGTCAAGTTTCTATGGCTATATTTTCATTAATGGTATCTCATTAAGATAATGCGAGTAACATACTGTACCACATTGAGTGTAATATTTAAAACAATCAGGGTATATATGTTTTTATCTCGATTTACGGCGGGAAAAAAATAGTGCATCTTTGTCTAACTTTTTATAGTCACTTTAGAAACATAGAGCTCTAAAATTTCTTCGTCATCTAGTGTATTTTCCTAAATATAGTGGAGTGAAATCATTCAATTATCTAATGTTTTAGATCAAGAACGATTGGATAAATCTCGCCATACCAAATCAGCGTATTGACATTGCACCGGAGAACATAATTTTAATTTCATATTGCGTTAGGAAATCTGCGCTCATGAAATATTAAGTTTAAACTATGCGAAAGTGCTTTATCAGTTTGTATTTAAACAGTAGGTATAGCAACTCTTTACGGTCAGTAACTGTAATTATTTAGATTCCATTCGATTTAATTTCTAAACAACCCGAGTATATATTTAGCAAACGTAAAATAACATGATTAAGTTGTGTAAAAATTGTTTATTTATATATTTTCTAGGCAAGAATTAAATCTAGTCAATAGATTTCGCTTTCATCTAAGTCACTAAATTTCATTAACTAGTCTATTGGATCTGGAACCAATTATAATGGCAATAATTTTTATTTCTGTTCACCTTGAGGTATCATCAGTTTTTCTATGTCTTGAAATAATAATGTTTATTTCTCCAAGATTTAATTTTATGTTAAAATGTATTTTATTTTCTTGCTCAATTCCTTGTCCTAGAAGAGGCTATCATTATATCCGGATAACGAGGTAATCGAGCGGTAAGTTTGCGTTGTCTAAATATCTATAAAATCTAAAACCAAGGTCTCCAAGAGCTTCGACTCCTACTATTTTATTACTTTTGTAAATAAAGTATATTAAATTAGTATTTTTGGTATAACTAAATGTCTTTAAGATGAATTCTCCTCATAATCTTTGCTTCGCTAAGGAGTACGTTAAAGTATTTCATAGTTGATGACATTAACTCGTATTTCCACTAAACTTGACTTACATAAATCATATGTATTCTAGGTACCAAACAATCAAGTTGCCATGTTTTGTAATCTGAGCAACGCAAAAATCATAGTGCCTAGTGCGGCTATACAACGGAACAACTGCATAACAGTATTAGAAAAAAATGTAGTAACGTTAAATTAGTACAATGTTATACCACTTTTCGTAACGACAGTTCATAATTTTATGCACTATTACTTAATTGAAATGGCACACAATGGCAACTACCGCGTTTAAGTTTTGCAATAAAAGAACAATAGTACACTTTTAATATTTCTTAGTAACAGTGAAAGGCGTGTATATAAGTTAAAATGAAATATTTGAAAATGAATTTTGAAATTTTGAAACGCATAACAACAAACATAGGAGCAACAACGATTAAAATTGATGTCTATAAGATAGCAAACAAGCATACTGCCAGCTAAACTATCAAAGCGACCGTAACCCATAGACATCCGCAATGGCAGATGCGTTGCCTATGAAAGAAGATATCAGAAGATGCCAAAACTTTAATATTGCTTCAAGTAAAAAGTGTTCATTGCATTAGAGTATACTTAATTAATGTAGATGGATGTTTGTTAGAGTTTGTAACCTAAACTGCAGAACAGTTCTCGATAAAATTTGTGTATGTAGAGAATACTTTGGAAGGTCAAGTGGACTACTTGCCATAGTTTTGTTTTTTCTTTATATTCCACGCAGACGGAGTCGAGAGCGAAAGCTAGTTTAATTATAATTATTATTTATATTAATTCACAACGACGAATTAAATCTGATTCCTACATAACCAACTACGTTAAAAAAAATATTTTTAAGATTACTTACCACGCCATCCGTACAATCGGTTAGTGCCGCTTCACTCTCATCTTGGTTTGCGAACATTTTTCTATGGACTTTCTTGAATTCGTCCATCAACGCGTCATGTTGTTTCTTCTTATCGTCAACGGGCTTCGGTGCGGTCGGTTTCTTAACTGGGTTTAAAACTGGCGGAATTTCAACAGGAGTTTTCTTGTTCTGTAAAAATAATATGGTTATTTTGATGCATAAAATATTGTGTGAGATTTTATCCCTACTTTAAAATTATTATTGTATTTGTTTTATCGAGCAAGCAGGAGTAGTGTCAATTATGCTTACGGTTTGAAACTATGAAAGATTGTAACAATAAAAAATGTAAACTTAGATAAGTTCAATATCAACATGGTTCTCAATTAGGTATGGTAAAGAAGCTTATTTGAATTTTGATTTATGCAGACTTGATATACCTTGTTTACCTTATTCAAATGCGTTCAAGACTATCGAGTTGCGTATAAGGAAAATTACTAATTAATATTTGAACATAACCTAAGTACGTATTATGTACTTTAAATAAGTTTATAATGGTAATTATAGAAACATTTACCATTTTCCGCCTTTGTATTTCCTCGGCGATAGCGCTAGATAAGGTCGCCGTGCTTGATATACTTGTAGTGTCAGAATTGATGTCTTTCTTCATGGGCGGGGGGAAGTTGCAGTGCGTGTTGGCGCAGGCCGCGGGCGCCACGTGGTGCACCTCCACCACAATCGTCTTCTTTTCTTTATCTCTATTCGTTTCATTCGTGAACACATTCTTCCTTGCTGTTTGGTTGTTGTCATAACTACACTGGATCGTGGCGCCATCTTCCGTTAAATTTATAATAGTTCGATTAAGAGGACTCGTCATTCGCGATGGTTCGAATTCTGTTTTGTTTTTTCGCATGTGCGTCTTCTTTTCGTACGTGTGCGGGTTGTTCGGTATACTTGGGCTATCATAGTCAGGCTCTATGTCAGAAGGTGCGTCGAAGTTGTGCGTATCGTCGTTCTTCCATTTGAAGTCTAGACTGTCCCATGTTCTTCTTTTAATTCGGTTCATGGTTAATCTGAAAGAAAGCTGTACTATAATCATAATGCTTAAAATATGAAACAAGTAATTAAGTAAGAGACTGCTACTACGTAAGTTCCCCAAATAATTACGGTAGTTATCGTTAATCAATTTCATGTTCTTTCATGATAGGGGAAAGTTTCCTACCTTTAAAATTCCAATGCTTTAAAAATTACCATATAAGTGCAGGCGCACACCTTTGATTAAACTATCACACTACTGTTGTGCAATTGTCGCATGATTCGCAGCCAATT